GAGTACCATTATGTTTAATGGGGTTGACTCTGAGGTAAGTGCAGATGACCATAACAAGTCAAAATATTTCTTTGGAAGGGGTAGGAATACTCAGACCTGTTCTAAGCTCAGTTAGTGGGGGGGGGGGCTTGATCCAGGAGTCCATCAACACAGTGACTGTGAGGGATCCAAGGCTAGATGCAAAACCACAAATGGGCCATTCCAGGATGCTTCCAGAATGCCTCATTTTGCAGCCAAGAACCAGCAGAAGGCCATTCACTGAACATTCATGCCCATTGAGCCTGGGGCCTCCAGACATGCCACCAGGTTAGCTGAAGTCTTCTTTTCCAGTAGAAGTGTGTGTGTTTTTGTGTGTGCATGCACCTACATTTGCACATGTGCACGCACATGCATCCTAAATCTCTTTTTTTTCTCCTCCCATGTTGAGTTTGTTTATCTAAGAGGATAAAGATTAATCTGTTACTTGCATTTGAATTACAGTGGTGCTTCGCTTAACGATTGTTCCGTTGAGCAATGAAATCGCTTTGCGATGGACTTTTGCCCATCGCTGGAGCGATCGCTTAGCGATGTCCTCTATGGCTAAAATTTGCTTTGTGATGATCGCGGGGAAGTGATCATGGCAAAGCGAACTTTTTTAAACAGCTGATCGGCGGTTCCAAAATGGTCGCTGCAAAAAAAAAATGGCCACCGCTGTTTTGCCTCGCTGTAGAGACACCCAAAATGGCCGCCGCTATGGAGGAATTTCGCTTTAAGGTAAGTTTTTAGCCCATAGGAACGTATTAAACATTTTAATACATTCCTATGGGCTTTTTAAAATCGCTTAGCGATGAAATCACTTAGTGATGTTTTTTCTGGAACGGATTAACATCACTAAGTGAGGCACCACTGTATTCAAGTTTTCCACCTGCAGTTTGCAAGCGTGAACTGAAACCACTTTTTTCAAAAGGAGTTGGAGCTCCAGGAGAACGACTGTCCTGCAGTAAAATGGGGTCCGCACATATTGCACTACAATGCCTGTTGTGCCTAACTGTTTGTCGTGCTGGTTCAGGTGGTAATGGCAGTTGTTGTCCAGCAGCACTTTTGAGGAATCAAGGTTGGAGGAAAGCTGGTGCAGATCCTACAGAACATCCCATTTCTTTTCCAAATCAATCTCGTAGCTACTACAAGTTAGTGAAATGTGAACAGCGATGTCTCGTATTTGTGTTCTGGGGTTGCCAGCTTTCTAATTTAACTTTTCTTGCTTTTTTAAGTGGACAGACTTGAGGGTGGTTCTTGATCAGATTACTCTTTTTAGACAGAGCAGCAATTCTTTCCCAGCTCTCTGATCTTATCAGGAGGAGACCTAGCCAATTTCAACAATTTTTATTGCATGGTTCATTTGCTCTGCTGCTTTTTTCCTTTCCTTTTCACAAAGGCCTTGTGTGCATGAAGAAGGTGGAGGAAAGAGCTACAAAAAACCTTAGAGTGAAGCCTTTCTTAAATGTTTTATTATGAAGATGAATGCTGACTTTTGCACTCAATGGTCTGATGAACCTGCATGGATATCGGTCATGTCACTTGCGGCAAATCCCCCTTCTTAGCCTAGTGTGGATGGAAGAGGAGGTTGTTCCTGAGAGGGCCTATAGAAGGAGAACAAAATATGTGTGTATCTGACCTTTCAGCCATCAAATCTTCAAATTGATTTAGTTTTTATTTTCTTTTTCCTTTCCCCCTTCCTCTCCCAGTCATTCTATAACATTCAATATCGGTATTACTGTTATTGTATGGACTACAACTCAACTTCTCCCTCCAACAACGCCGGGGTTTGTGGCCCCAGGACTTCTTTGTAGTTCAAAGTCCGTGTATGACTTTTATTCCCCCCCCAACATCACTACAAAGCAAAATAGCCAAACCCTCCTATAGAATCAAAACAGTGCTGCTCGGATCTATTCGCTCACTCACACACAAACATACACCTTCCCCTGACCTGTGTCAGGAACCCGGCATGCCACAGCCCCCTCATAGAGTCACCATGACAGGAGAGGGGGGGTTGTCCAAGCTGCCGCCATCCGATCATCAGGGGCCACTACCTTGCCAATAACAAAGGGGCCTTAGGTAAGCCCAAGACCCACCTTTCTCAAGGCACTTCCTGGAGACAAATAGCAGCACCATATTTATTGGAATATTTATTTATTTATGTATTTATGTATTCAGCCCCCTCATAGAGTCACCATGACAGGAGAGGGGGGGTTGTCCAAGCTGCCGCCATCCGATCATCAGGGGCCACTACCTTGCCAATAACAAAGGGGCCTTAGGTAAGCCCAAGACCCACCTTTCTCAAGGCACTTCCTGGAGACAAATAGCAGCACCATATTTATTGGAATATTTATTTATTTATGTATTTATGTATTTTATTTATTCGGTATATTCTCAGGCTCTTCCTCCCACACATAGCAGTGCATCCCCAGATGATGGCCAGTAGCCGATGTCCCCTAGAGCAGTGGTCCCTAACCTTGGCCTTCCAGATGTTCTTGGACTTCAACTCCCAGAAGTCCTGGCCAGCAGAGGTGGTGGTGAAGGCTTCTGGGAGTTGTAGTCCAAGAAGCGTCTGGAGGCCCAAGGTTGGGGACCACTGCCCTAGAGAGCATTCAAGAGCATTGAAAGAAGGTTAAAGGTTAAAAGCCCCAAAGGAAAGAGCTGGCAGGTGGTGCTGTTCTCCTGAAGTGTTTTCTGAGGCTGGGTTCAGAGAGTCAGCTACCTGGAATGAGTGCTTTTAAATTCCTTTCCTTGTAATGTGGCTAAAACTAGAGCAAGGAGGAGATGTTTGGCTATGAATAAAATAGCCAAACAGGCTTGCAGAGTGTAGCCGTTTGTCCTATTTCATGTGCTTTTTGGGGAACTGGGAGAACGAAGCACCTTCTTCAGCCACTTAATTTCCCACTCAAGGTAGAAATACGTGTGGCAGATAGTCTATGAGTAGAAGATGGGAATTCTAAACCATGTGAGTTTCCTGAGTGTCACAGTGTGTGTGCTTCTCACCTCTGGCTTTATGCAGTTTAGCTCGCTTCCTTTGGTGGCTGGTCTTCGGAACTTAAACACTGGATTCCTCTGAAGTTTGATTTCACAGGCATAAGGAGAACTACCTCAATCACCTCTCTTCAACACCAGCGTTCTTTCAGGTCTGATTATGGACTACCTCTGACATCTGTTTGTCAACTCCGTTTTGTGCTGAATTATGAATGTTGAAGGCCTTTCTCTTTAGCAGGGGATGTGTGCACATCAGGAGACCAGTACCTCCAAGTGCTAGGAAGGTAAGGGAGTACAGGAGATGCACAAGGGGTCAGACACAGACAAAGGGTCAGACTAGATAGTGGCTGCAATCCTGTTGCACAGTTTCACAAAAATTGCAACCCCATTTTTGGAAACCAATTGCTGTATGTTAAGAAATCTCTGCAGGCATTATCTGTTGCTCTCCGAGTTGCACGACTCAATGTGCAATAGATAATGTTGACAGAGATTTCTTAACCTATGGCAATTTGCTTCCAGAAGTTAATGCCATTTGCCAAATACATTTATTGTGTTTGTTTTGCTGAGGTGTTCCTCCCAGCGGTGAAAGATGTCTGTCGTTGCAAATGCTTTTTTTTACCTATACATCTTGCATTTAGCATGCTCTGCATTGCAGTTTGTCATGGAAGATAAACAAAGGCTCAATTTGCAAATATGTTGAGGCATATCTTTCTGAGGAAATTCCATCATGGGATGGATAATGGGTAAACTGTAAAAAAAAACACATTCCGTTAACAGTTTGATCTTCAGTTGGAAGAACACCATCCAAAAAAACCCCCAGGTTTGGCTTGCCCACGGCCATGAAAAGCAAAAGGAAAGGTGTGTTCTTTTGTGTAAAAGTACTCTTGGGTCAGGTCTATACAGAAACCAAGCAGCATTGTGTATGTTATGTATGAGAGAGTTCTTCTCCTTTGTATTTTCTCTTTCTTCCCAGCACCTTTTCTCTAGTTCACTAGGTGCTGTCAAGAGTCAAGTAAAGGAAGGGCAGTTCATTGTTAGCCATGAGTCTTTCACCTTCCTGTTCACCCTTAGCATTTCAAGGTATGGTTGTATTATTCCAGTTCTCCAAATCTGGGTGTCCTATTTTGCATATTAGTCCACTGAAGTGGCCTTGTTTGCATAGTGTGCAACATTGTACATTATGCAAATTAAGCAATTAAATGGTTGCATTCTTTTTCTGCCAATATGGTTTACCCTTGGCATCACTGATAGAGGAACCACTGGTCTTGGAGAGGTGTACAGTGTAGAGATTGGAACGTTTGACATGTCACAAAGTAAGGAGGGGGAACTGCGTAGAGCCTCCATGTATGTTGCAGCTGCACAGCACAGAAAGAAAGAAAGAACAGCATTTTACTACACACAGGGATTTCTAGGGATGTTCTCATTACCTGGCTATTGGTTTTGCCCATCGTTTTTTGCTGAGGATCCATGGGAATACAACTGGAACCAACCACCTGCGACCTGCAGGAAACAAGAGCGATGTGCAGATGTCAGGGTAGAAAACAAAGTGTGATTTTCTTCACAAATGCAGCTTGAATATTTTATTGCAATTAGAAAATAGCCTAGCTTTGCCATCTCTCTCTCTTTCTCAAAGCAAGTGCCAATCCATGTTTTGTTTTCACTGTTCTTTGATATAAAACCTTCCTTAAGCCCTTTACCATGAGTGGCTGTTTGTTTCATTGCTATGGAACTGTATTGTCATCGGGGGATATTGTTCCTAGCAGACCTTGGACAATTTATTTTTCAGGTGACGCCATCCAAGATTCCAAACAGACATTCAGTGGTTGGGGCAGTGGTTCCCAGAGTTTTTCAACTCACGGCTCCCTTGACTTACTGGCCACTGGCTGCGGTTCCCCGAACAGGATACTTTGGCGGGGGGGGAGGGGAGGGGAAGGGACAGGGGAAGCCTGGCCACTGCTGCCTCCATCTATCATTATTCTTTATTCGCTGTGCAGGACCAGTGGTGGTGGTGGTGGCGGCTGGGTTCGGCAAGCAGGAAATGGCAGTGGCGATGAAGAGCCGGAGAGGGGATGAGAGGGCGGTGGTAGGAGAACAGAGAAAAGAGAGGCCATATTAAAAAAATTATTGCTGGCGGGGAAGGGGATTCCGTGGCACCCGGAGCAGGCACTGCAACACATAGCTTGGGAACCACTGGGCTGGGGGATTCTGGGAGCTGTAGTCCGAGAAAAGAACTTCCTAATAAATACAGCTGTACCAGGCTTCTATCCACATTCATTAGGTACATGACCAACATTCCCTCTAATTTTCAGCTCTGCTGTGCCCCTCGAGTGTACGACTCTGCTCCTCACTGTGGGTGTGACTCTGCGCCCCCCCCTGTTCCATCGCAACCAGAACAATTGCTGTGGGTGCATGGAGGAAGAGGTGTTCCACACAGAGGGGGGGCAGAGTCACATGCACTCGCGCAGAAACGCACACCTTAGAGGGAACCTTGTGCTCGACTCATTTGACTTAGTAAAACATAGACTGAAGCAAGCTGTTCAGAGAGCCAGCCCAAGGCAAATACGTACATGTAGAATGGGTATTTAGATAGAACATTTTAATTTCTTCATTGCTGCTTCAAAAATGTTCCTAGAAAGTTAAGATTCAGAGTAGCCGTAAATCAGCAGCAGGAGCAAAATACTGACTTGCATGTTTTGCCTGGTGTCTCCAGTTCTATAAGGGCTAGAGACTTCCTTTCCGCCCTGCCCCCCGACCAGCTGATGGTCTAAACAAATTGTGAAGATCCTGCTTAAAATTCAGGTAAAACCCAGCTATAGGATAACCTGCCAACGCAATTTTCGGGCCATTTCTACAGCAAACAAAGAAGGAGAATTCCGCGAGTCATTTCTGGCTTCTGCTTCGTTCTTGTGGAGGGGGTTGGGTTGATATACTGTCTTTACCCAAATTTTCTTTTGAGAGGCAAGCCCAGAAGGTCTCCCTGTGAACAGGCCACAGAAGTATGTAGCTGGGTGGAAGAAGGGAGGGAATGTGCCTTTTTTGAACTTCTGAGTGTAAGCCAATCAGATTTGCTGGGGCCTGCATCCCCTGTTGGATGGCCCAGGACAATTCTGAGTCTTTTATGGCTGCATCAATAACCAGGGGAAATGGTTTTGGTTGCTCAGATTCCTCGTAAAAGCCCCAAGCTCTGTTGTATCAGTGTGTTGTGGTAGATAAATATGGAGTCTGAAGATCTCTTGGTATGCATTTCTGATTCCAATATTCAGCTTTCTTATCCAATCAGCCTGCGGTATGGAGAGTTCTCCTAGTCTCAGAGCTCTGGCCATCCTTCCAGATGTTACTACCTGGTATGGAGAGTTGTCCTAGTCTCAGACCTGTCATGGCTCTGCTCTGGCCATCCTTCCAGATGTTACTACCATAGCCAGAAAAGGCCTTTGCCATCTTGGCAGAAGCTTCCTTGCTGCTCCTTGTGGGTGGAAAATAAAGAACTAACAAACAAGAGAGCCCAAGGCACGGTGACACAAAGGGCTTCCTGGAGAGTTAAGATGCTAAATATCGGTCAGGTCAGGTCACCGTAGCCCTGATACAGCAAAAGGCACTTGTGCCCTTCCCTCTGCCACCACGAACTGGCAGCGAAGAATTCAGTTATGGCTGAAGGCTTCCTGTGACTCAGGCAGGTGAAGAGAGTATGTCTTCATGGGAGTAGACTCAGGGCTAACCTCCAGGTATTTTGCTCCCTGATGCAAAGCACAAGGTAGTTTTACCCAGCAATTCTCTCCCATTGCACCTATGGACTGGCAGATCAATACAAGGGTGGAAGAGTGCCTTCCTGGAACTGGGGCCGGTTGGGGGACAAGGAGAAAAAGTATGACCCGGGGGAACAGCTTGGGTGACCCGAACAGCAGTAACAGCCTGGATGCTGCCCCTGCTGTCCCCTCAGTATCTGCTGCCTGAGGCTACTTCCTCAGCCATCCTCATGGTAGAGCTGGTTCTGACTGGGCTCACCACACAAAGTAGACTGTTTGTATAAATACGGCTAAACATTTTTGTGAGAGCCAGCACTGAGGTGCAACATTGTTGGAAGCAGATGAGATTTGTCTTTAAAAAAAAAACAGCTTTTTGATACCTTAGAATGATAATCCTAGAAGTGACCTCTGTCCCTCCACGTATCTCTCCGATCTGTGTCATCCTCTCTACTTGCTGCCAGATAAAAGGGCCTCCCACAAGAGTACTGTGCGAAAGCCTTTGATTGTGAGCACCCACACAAATCAGTCTGCCAGCCCAAGGTTTGCTTGATGGCAGACTTTATGTCTTGGCAGTGACTCGCCATTTTCATTTTCTTAGAAGAGAGCGATACTGGGTGCAAGTGCCCCAGGGCACTGTGGGAGAACGAACACGAGGAGTGAGTTCCTAGCCACCGTTGCTACCCTGAATGGCATCACTGGTGTGTCGTTTTTGGGAGGGCTTTGAAGCTACTCAGTGTGTACCCGGTGGGTTGTAGTGACAGATTAGGACTCTGGAGAAGAGGCTTCAGATCCTCACTTGGCCATGGAAACTCATTGGGGGGAACGTGGAACTGGTAAAACCACTCCTTAATTATCTCACTTCTTTTGAAAGCCCTATTTAGGGTCGCTATACGTCAGTTTTGACTTGACAGAACATAAGTAAGAAACTTGAATCTACCTTCTGTTGCTTGTATTGACGCTAAGCCTGATCATCCAAAGATCTTTTCAACCTACGTCCGCTGTTGCCATATGTCACCAGGGCCCAGTGGTTCTCTCGTTCTTATAGAGTGGACGGGCTTGGGATGGGAGAATGTGACCTTAGTTGTAATAGACCTGGTTCTTGCCTCTTATGATGGCATAGGAACTGATAGCCACAAAGCCTTGCCAAAGCTATGAATTTGCTAGGTGATAGCCCCCTGTTTAAAGAGCCTCGTCCTCAAGAGATGTTGTTGGATCACCACTTGGAAAAGCCCTCACCATTGGCTAGGCTCGCTGGGGCAGATGGGATTTGTACTTCAATAACATCTTGGAGGGCTACGTGTTCTACATTCATGCTCTGTTCCCTCTGCTCCCATCTTGTGCCCTACAGTGTTAACACTGGCCTACCTTACAAGAGTGGGATAAGATTTTTGTGTTGAAGCAGCTTAAATTTTTTTTAAAGTTTTATATAAAATATAGATTTATTGTTTATAATACTTCTACCCCATCTGTGAAGATTCTCAGTCATTCAGGTGAGAAAGAAGTCTAGTTGCCATGACAAAGCTTCCAGAAAACGTCTGCCTCAGTTGTACCAGAACAGGTTGGACTGTTAAAAGATCTGTCTGTTTCAAGGGAATTACCCTGTTCTTTACCATCATATGCTTCTTTGCTTTATTTCGCTTGTCAAAGAGGGTTTAAATCAAAGAAGAGTAGTCTTCTCAACAAATAACATCTCCGTGATTTTTCTTTACCCTCGACTGTGGTTATGTTTCCCCCCGGTTGTTTTCTGAAGAAAGTAGACAGTTTCCCATAATCAGAGCTGAGCTCAAGGCCTTTGTATTTGCATAATGCTAACTTATTATGTGAATAAGAGTGATAAATCATTATTTTGCCCTTTTCTTAGACTGGCAAAGTTTTCCTGAAGCTGTAATTGACGTGTTCCATTAGAATAAGGCGTTGCTGCCTTTTGCTTGTATGAAGATACTCGTTTGGTTGGGATGAAACTAAAAGGGAGGCACAAGAATGAGTCAACCAGCCTTGGCATCTTCAAAAAAAAGGGAGTGTAGCCTTGATACTGGCATTGCAATCTTTAGCTTGTTTACTCTGGAGTAAGTTCTGTTGGGGTCACAAGGGCTACTTCCTGGTGAATATGCACAGGATGGCAACCTCAGTATTGTTCCTTCTTCCTCAAAAACAAAATGTTGTAGTAATTGCTGTGAAGAGAAGTTACTCTTATCTTTGGAGCAATCCTGCCTTCTCCCCAATCACCATTTAGTTTTTGGGGTTATTCTATGTTATTTCATTTTGTGCTGCTGCTGCTTGTTCGCCTCCTACCAGTTGGCCGTCATCATGGTTATTCTGGCTTTTCATGAGGCAGCTTTAAACCGTGATGCTGTGGATGCATCCAAACCAGAGTTCTTCAGCCAACAAGTTCTTCTCCTTTCTGCATTTCTTTTCCTATTTGAATGATCAGCTGCAACAACCTTTATTTTTCACTTCACACAATCAGATCCTCCTGCATTTTTGATATTTTATGATAGCCAAGTAACCTTCTAGGGTAGTGAGGAAAAAGAGTGTCTCACACATTCTTTGAAACAATGGCTAAAATCCTGTTTGTGCAGCTGTGCTGCTTAAGGATGATGATGTCATCAGCCGTGGCAATTTTTCTGAAATAAAAAAATTCTGATTTCTCCCCATTTGTGGTATTGGAAACTGAAGACTCATCCTCATCTTGCAGATCCTGATGGCTTCCCGGTGAGGACCTACATTCCACTAGAATTACAGAATTTTCAAGAGGGGAATCAGAAAAAAAATTCTGAAAAATTGCAGCAGTTGATGACATCATCAGCCTTACGTAGAGCATAACTTACAGAATAGGATTTCAGCCAAATGTCTTTTGATAAATAAAGTCTCAGTTTTATCATCTGTCTGAGTAGGGCATGTAGGTTTTTATCCCAGGAGATAACAGATGTGCCTGGGTGTACATAAATACTAAGATAACCTGCACAGTCTACAGGTGTTGGGGGTCCGTTTTGCACTGTGAATTATTTAATACAGCACATCGTATCTTTGACTCTAAACAGCATGGCGTACGGATGGCGTGCACTGTAAAGCTTTGCATATGCAGGGTCTTGCTTTCATTCTGTCCATGAAACACAGTGATCAAAATCCTACTAATGCCTGCTGGTGTAACACACTTAGCAGCAGCGTGCAACAGCACATGCCTGTGACAGTTTCTTAATTCGTGGCAATTTGCCACTGCCATTTACACCAGTTTTCTTATGCCAGCATGAAAGTGCCATAGAATTGTGTCCAGTGCTCTGCAAACCTGTCTCAAATCTGCCTTATCTGATAGAGATGTTTCTTTACTCAGATCATTCTCTTTTTTTCTGCATATCGGAGTGACTGCCTGAGAACTCTCTGAGCCGTTTGCATGGGTAGGATAGAAATCACATCCTTGCACGCCTACTCTCCTGCAAGGACATGTACCAATCATCAGCCACCGCTTTGTTAAAACGCCCATTAAAGAGCTACCTAGATCTTTTTTTTTCCCCCTTCCAAAAACAAGCCTGTGTGTTCATACGGCTAGGAATGCGGAAGGAACCTCCAAAAGTAGACTAGGTGTCAGAAGAGGAATCTTGCTCTACAGGCTGAAGATGTTCAGCAACATTTGGATTTACATACTCCTCTGACAGTCTTTGGGTGGGGAACTAGTTGGTGTAAGTCACCTACCCTTGTTTTCCTTTAAGGTATGGCTTCTTCTCTGAAATGGACTTAAGCAAAATGGCATTTCAGAGAGGGAGGTGGAATTCAGTCCAAACGGGTTTTTGTTTTGTTTTGTTTTGTTTTAAGTAAAGAATCAAAATGCACATCTTGAACCTAGTGGGACAGTAATGTATCTGAGATGAAGGGCTGTTAATAATGAGCCTTTTATGCATTTACCACCAAGCAAGTTGAAGCCATCCAGATAATATAATCCGAGTCAATGTAGGATGGCATCTTTGCCTTCCTACCTGTACATATTGACTTTACTTTCTGTTCTTTCAGGTTCACTGCTGGGAGGGGGTGTGATGGAGCTAAAACGGTGAATATTCTGCGTATGAGCGTCTAAATTCCATTAAGCACACCCCACCCCCCGTACATAACTTGAACTCTACTAGAACTTAGATACATCCCTTTCTTGGACTCCAGTCCCCAGTGGTCATGCCAGCTGGTGAACTGCAGTTCAAAAAGGACGCTTCCTAGCCATGAGCATCTCAGAAAGCATTGGAGAAGCAGCATGCACCCAGAGAGGCTAGTAACTTTCACACAACAGTTTTCTGGTCCTCACAACAGAAAACAGTATGCAGCGTTGTTAAGATTTTTTAATTAAACACAAAAACTTCCTCAGCAGGTTGATGCTTGTCAGAATCATGGATCCGGGCTATTCTGAGAACAGAACAGCTCTACCCTTTGTATTGCAAACACAGTTATGCGCAATAGCAAGGGGCCAAAAACCTTCCAGGAAGCCCACAAGCAGGGCAGGAAACGGATCTGTTCCTCCTCTCTTTTGTCTTCAGCCTCTGGAATCTATAAGTAGGCAGCAATTACAATTAGAGCAGCTGCTGAATGTGGCCAGACCCCCCCCCTTTTGATAGCCATGTGTCCTCTAATTGTAGGTCAAAGAAAAAAAGAAAGAAAGAAAAGATTTTTGATTTCAGAATAACTCAGCATGATATCTCAGCCAAGCATACCAACCCATGCCAATCCTCCCCCTCCCCCCCCCAGCCATACAAAATTAATCAATAGAGGTGAGTGAACTCTACTCACAGGACCGGTGGGTGTCTTGGCTCCTGGAACTGTTCTAGGTAGAAATGTGCAACAGAGATTGTAAAGTATTACTATCTCAATACGTAATGGGGTGTGCATTTTTAATGTTTATTTATAAAGTGTGTTTTTTACTCCTTGATGTGGGGATATAAACTGGTGGGACATTCCTAGTCTTCTGTGTTTTCTAACTGCAGTCACACTGTGTGCAAGCAAACACAGGACAGAGTATTTAAAAATGCATAAAAGCCCCTGTATGGGCGGAGGATGCTATTATTTACATTTTAGTGACAATTCGGCCAGGAAGGGAAAAGGAAAAAGGAGGACAGACAGGAGTTTTGCGGTAGCTTCGAGACTGAAAGATTTGTCCTAGCATGAGCTTTTGTGTGTTAATTTCTACTTCCTCAAGGGCATTGTTATTGTCCAGATGTTGCAGAGTCAGGATCTTCTGTGAAATTAAATCTGTCTTTCTTTGAGGTATCACAAGCCTCTTTCTGTGTCACCCTGCAACATTATTTTGTAAAACTTCACATGCTAGTACACTACATCTGTGTTACACTATTTTTGTAGCATTTCGTATTGTAAGAACAACTGTTATTTATCTTGTTTTCCCTCTTCTTTTGATAACATGACATGACGACAAGCATTTGCAGTGCCTTGTATGGAATGAATGGCAGTTTCGAATTGCAGTAGCTGGTTTATTCCACAAGAGGTCGCCCACTCCCTGCTGATCAGTTTTGATTTTAATTTTTATTTGAAGAAAAATAACATTTAGCTGAGATGTGCTGTAAATAGCAATAAACTAAGTGATGCCACTTACTATTGGAACAACCTAACTTAGTTTATATCTGCTTCCAGTTGAACAAGTGTATTCACATGGTAAATGCTGGAGCAGTAATAGTGCCCAGTCACTGTGTTTGCATGATATGGTTGTTTGGTAAGGGCACTTCAACAAGGAACACAGAATAAAACAAATGATAAAATAAAATAATAAAAAAATCAATCAGTCAATCAAAAACCTTTATTGGCATTAAAACCAGTAACCGTATAATCAAGTATAAATAAAAATAAAGGCAAAGACACAGTAGCACCTGAAAGACTAAGTGCTATATAAAACTTTTTAATTGTTTTAATTTTTTGCTTTTTAGTTGCTTTCTCTCACTTCACTGTGCTTTCATGTTAAGCTTTGTTCCTACATTGCAAAGTCCAAATACATTACCATTGCGTTGCCATACAAACTTACATAAAAGAAATCAGCCAATGTGCAGGAAACTGGGGGTGTAAAGCCTGTCACCCTGCAAATGATGTTGGATGGCAGCTTGCTGATGGAAGTTGAGGTCCAACAACAACTGAAACCCCCATTCTGGACCTGTATAGTTACTATTTTTAATCACCTTGCTCATAAATAAAGACACAAAATTTGGCCACTGCACCAGTGAACGAGGGAAGGCTATCTGAAACTAGCCTGTGTGCTACACGGCACTCATAGACATTCCTGTTCTTGCAATGGGGAATGGCTGGCCAAAGCAGCTTGGACAAGTGAGGTACCTGAGGTGGGAATATGCAAAATATTTTGTGAAACCCTCATTGAAAAAAAACATTGCCTTATGCTGGAATCCCGCACAAGCCCACCTGGGCAGTCGGGATGCTTCACGATACAGGGCTCTTAGTACTACTGTCAAAAGACATTCTACAGCAATTCCGTCTTTTCCACTTTAACAGATTTTCTGTGATAAGGAACATTGCACGAAAGAAATTGTGGGGAAACACGAATAATTGCAACTGGAGGTTATATTGTCTGCAAATGAGTTTGGGTGATTACCCCAAAGTACTATTGAGTGCAATGGGCCTTGTGTCTGAATAGATAGGCAGTGGGTTGCACTCTTAACTTTCCAGTCCAACTGCAATTTATCTCTTCATGTTCCTGGGTTAATGCCGTGTTAATCCCTCCCCCCTTCTGTAACAAAAGACTGCAACACAAAAAACCCACAGTCGGCATGTTTGGTTTCTTTGCAGGTCTTCATTGCTGTCAATTGCCTCAGCACCGACTTCTCTTCTCAGAAAGGTGTCAAAGGCCTTCCTCTGAATCTTCAGATCGACACCTACAGCTACAACAACAGGAGCAACAAACCTGTCCACAGAGCTTACTGCCAGATTAAAGTCTTTTGTGACAAGGTAAAAGCTGCAGGAACCTACAAAAAGCTGTGGATTAAGGCCTCTCTCTCAGGTTTCCTGGTTCCGTCAGGCATCAAAAAGTATTTTGCTGATCACCTCATGGGCTCTAAAAAAGCTTGGGCTGTGCATGCGGCACATTTTCTCATGACTTCTGAAGTCCTCAGTACTACAGGTTCCTTTATTTATTTGTTTGTTTAATTAATTAATTAATTAATTTGCCGCCCACACTACCCAAAGGTCTCTGGGCAGCTTACAACATTTAAAATACAATAAAAATTCAGAACAATTAAAATACAATTAAAATATATGTAAAAATTGCCATCGGACTCACAGCTAATATTATTTCAATTAAAAGCCTTCTGACTTCGAAGAAACCCACTTGATTTGAACTACAGTGGACCCTCTACTTACAGAATTAATCCATATTGGAACAGTGGCTGCGGGTCAAAAAGTCTGTAGGTCGAGTCTCCATTGACCTACAATGCTATGGTCTTCACTGATTTGAACTCTGTACCTGTGTGTTGGGCTTCCAGTCTCTGCTAGGCAGTGACGTCTCTGTTCGATTTGGAGAAGAGTTTGCAGCTTGACAGATGTCTGTCATGCCTGATGGGACAGGGACCAGGGTTGCTGGGGCAGAGGAAGGTTGAGGGTCTAAAAGCATTTTTCTCCTCCATTACCTGACAGGGAGCAGAAAGGAAGATAAGGGACGAGGAACGAAAGCAAAGCAAAAGAAAAGGCAAGTGCACTGACCCCAGCTCTCAGCTGAATGCCTGTAAGTAGGAAAAAGAAGAGAGAAAAAAAGAATCAAGTGCCTTCTAATTTATAGGAAAATTTCTACTGAGCCTACTAGAAAATGTGAGCCATGACTAAACAACAACAACAACAACATTTTCCTCTTTTAAACAGGAGTTAACATATGCTGACAATTGGCCTACTGATACATTGGAGGTGTTTCATTTATCTCTGGGCTGAAGGGTGAATGTCTTCAGCGTGGGTGCAGCCGGGCGGGGGGGGCGAAGTGGGGTGGGGAGGGAGAAGAGGAAGTAGCCAGGAAGTAGCTTTTGTGCAGCTGCACCAAGAAAAAGGAGGGCCACCGGGCAACCCATAAATGATAGCATTTTCTGGAGAGAAGAAGGTGGTGCTGGAGAGTTTTGAATATAGGGGATTAAGCAGCATTTTTGTTTGGGGTGGGTATGATTTGGTAGAATCATCATCATCATCATCTTCATCAATGTAGAACTGCAGAGCTGGAATCAAGTCCACCCCCTGTCAAGGAGGCATCGTGGGGAATCAAACTCCCAAAGATCCAGGCACACCTTGGGGCTGTAGAATATTATTATTAATTTCTCTCCTGCCAAGTAAGGAGCCTGGCAGGATCCTCAACATGGCTTTCAAAGTAAACCAGTGCTGCCTGAAAACGTGGCAGTGCAGACTGCTCCCTGTTCAGGATTCCAGCCTTTCCTTCCCGCTCCTTTCTAGGCTTCTCCTCCCAGGAGATGGTCAGCAGTCCTGCTTGGCTTTTTGGGGATGGGGGTTTCCCCCTTCTAAGTGTTTTCTGTAAAGATGTTTGGAAGCGTTGCCCTTTGAATTTCTCTCCTGGGTATGTGAGTATGTACAGTTTTGCCTGCTCAAGCAGAGGCGCTTTGAGAACTGAGGTCACTTCATTGTGTTTCTCATTCTCAAAACACTCCAATTTAACCATGATTAAGAAATGGGTTCAAAGGCAAGGCTGGGGTGTTCTGCAGCACCAACGAAATTGGCTATTTCCTTCCAACCCACAATACAATCTTCGTATGAGTTGTGGAGAGAAACGTAAAATCCAATCTCAGGATCTATGTACTATTGTTTGTTCAGCTTAGTGAAATGTTTTTGAACATGGTTTGGAAAGCTGATGTTAAGGAAGGCTGTTTTTGTATGTGAGATATTTAATAGCCTTTCCCCCCGCTTTTTTTTTCCTCCCCACCAGTTTCTGATGTCAAAGTACCCATGCTTCCCTCCCACAAGCGAACCGACATCACCGTTTTCAAGCCATTTATGGACCTTGATACTCAGCCAGTTCTCTTCATACCTGATGTTCACTATTCCAATATTCAGCGTGGAGTTCATGTATGATTCCCTTTTTGTACATATTGGTGCCGGGAGGGCTGTAGTAAAGGAAAGAAATAAAAATAGAAAGCTATTCCATGTCCAGTTGTACAAATAAATAAGGTGATAATTTTGCCCCATCACAATAGTGTATTACATAAAATCGCTGTTGGCAGTAAAATCATCCTGGCGATAGCTATTTTTTGGTAATTAGATTTCTTCCTCCTAATTAGACTTCTTCCTCCTGAGTGTCATGGCTCCCAAGGGTTCCTGACAATGAAAGGAATTGCACGGAAGTCAGGGGTGCCTTGGGACAGAAGTAGGAAATGTTTAATTTCCAAAAAGCTGTCCTGGCTAAATACCAGCTTCAAGAGCTCATGATGCCCTCTGAAGTAAAAAGGGTTTTTCTTCATCACAAGAAGATTAGCAGCAAAAGCAGATTGCATTTCCTCTGATATGGATTTCCAAACTCTTGATGCCATCACAGAGAAGAAAGGAACAAGAAAAGGGAGAAATGGGGGCTGAGTAGCAAGGATTTGAATATAGGGGATTAAGTAGCAAGGATTTGAATATATTAAAAACTTCATGGTAGCAGAGCGTGTATGAAAAGCAGGACTAAAGCCAAGGTTTGAAGGAATCTATTAGATTCAACATGTTGGTGCTAAAATCGCTACTTTTGCATTAATAGGAGGATAATCCAATTTTAATGTTCCTTTCAAAAAATTTATTTGCAATATATTAGACGAGTTCCTTCTGTTTATTGTGAAAGAAATGTTTTTAGTGTTGATGTGTTAAACTAATGCATTATTTCCAAGCTCAGGGCTAGACAATTTGAAAGGATGTGGAAGATAGACAAAAGGTTGAGAACAGCTTCAATGGGAAGGAATCTGACCAGGCATAAGAAACAGCAAGGTAGAATATGTTCTGGTGGGACCTTAGAACAAGGAACAAAGCAGAGAGAGGAGTAGAGGGTTGCCAGTTCCAAATGGTTTCTAACCTTCTTTTCTCCCAACTGCTGCATCTCCTTATAAAAACAAAGGGTATAGTTTTCTTGCTATGCTGTTGTTTAGCTATCAATTTTAACTCACCAATATTTCAAAAACAGATGTGTTATTGTTGTTGTTTTTCCCATCCCCTAGGTCTTTCCTCTTGCATCTGACGAACTGGAGGGCGAAGGGTAACATTTATTACTTACTTTCATGCTTTGGTGCTTGTCATTTGTGCTGGGGCTTTTACTGTTTTTCCTTGTTCTGATTAAGTGGTAATCAGTTTGGCTCAAGAAGTCAATGTTATCATAAAAGATTGCTTCAGTCATGACCCTTGAGGCAGGATAGGAGGTATTTCAGGGTGAAAGAGCAAGTTGAACTTGTATCTAAAGATGACACAGTCATTTTGGAGGGAGCAATACACTAAGGAAGGGTTCATATACATGTTGACCTGGAACTGGGCTGAACCCAGCAAAGCATCAACCTTGTCAATGGCTCAGGGCCTAGACTGATTTAAGCACAGAGGGGAAGGGTCACTCTGGCTAGAGAGCTTGGAGTGACAGAATAGACCAGTCTTCCCCAAACTAGAATCCTGGCCACTGGCCATGTAAACTGGGGCTGTTGAGAGTTGAAAAGTTAAATATCTGGAGGGTGCAAAGTTGGGATCACCATTCTGCTGTCAAGACAGTAAAAGACAGTGTGTTGGTTTTGGATAGGGGTGGTTAACCATTTCTTGCCTTTGGAAATTTCCCTTTTTCACTTAATTTTGTCAGTGTGGAAATAGCAGTAGAATGGCATGTTCTATCCTTCTGATGGGGTAAAATGACCTTTCCCAAGCTGATGCCTACAGATTTTGGGGGTTTCCTCTCACTGAGAATGGCTAGGATAGAATGAGGGATTTAGACAGGAAGTTAAACCAGGTCAAGTTGCTTTTGTTTTTCATTGGAAAGCCAAATCCATGATGTTTGGACTAAAACAGACAGTCAATACCACCTGATACTCTAGAACAGTGGTTCTTAACCTTTGTTACTCGGATTTAGGATAGAATGAAGGATTTAGACAGGAAGTTAAACCAGGCCAAGTTGTTTTTGTTTTTCATTGGAAAGCCAAATCCACGATGTTTGGACTAAAACAGACAGTCAACATCCCCTGATATTCTAGAAGCCCTCACCACCACTGTGCTGGCAGGGGTTTCTGGGAGCTCCAGTCCTAAAACACCTGGGTATCTCAAGGTTGGGAACCACTGCTCTAGATTGAGAATCTCAGTATTAGGCAGACTAGGCAAGAACTCAGCCCTCACCACCAGTGTGCTGGCGGGGGTTTCTGGGAGCTCCAGTCCTAGAACACCTGGGTAAATCAAGGTTGGGAACCACTGCTCTATATTGAGAACCTCAGTATTAGGCAGACTAGGCAAGAACTCCTCACAAGTGAGAGGAGGAGTTCTTCTACTTCTTGGCTTGTTACCTTCGTAATTGAAAGTCTGTAAAACAGACTAGCTCTTCCAACAGGTTTTACTCTGCTCACTTCTCTCTGATGATGGTGGTTTGAAACGTAGAGTAGGGCCCCCATATTTGCTGAAGATTGATTCCAAGTCCCCCGTGGATACTGAAAATTGTGGATAATAGATTTGGAGGGGGCAATATATAGCATGGTAAAAGGAAAATTATTTGCAAAAGCATTGCCAGAACTGGTCTCCAGAGGGTGCCAGAGGCCATGCTATGTATTCCTCACTACTTATAGCACAATCTCTGGCTCCCGATACTGGCCAGTTGTGGTAAAACACATGAAAATATGTTTCTGTTTTTTTCTTCTTTTAATCTTTTACATATTTTCAGACTGTGGATAAGTGAATCACTTCTTCTTTTAATCTTTCACATATTTTCAGACTGGATAAGTGAATCAATGGGTGCTGATCCTGTAGATAAGGGGGGCCCTATTGTACTCTGCTTTTAGGGCAAACCCTGCAGATTGTGGTGTACAGAAAGACTGTAGATAGTTGTGACTGGCAGAACGGTTGATCGGCTGACTGACTTTCTTGCAGCTCTGCCATGAAGAGGGGGCCTTATCTAAATGAAGATGATTTTGCTGCCAGCCCAATTAAGCTGTCTCGAATAGAGGAACCAAAACGAGGTAAGGCCACAGATCTGTTGGGGAGGGGAAAACCTATTTGAATTGTCCTTTGCAGTGGTCCTGTGCAGCTTCTAGGACCATGTGTTGCAGTGCCAGAGGGAGTGGGTTCACTACAGTGGCATGAGTCACTTCCCCTCCAGGAAGTTACTAAGAGCTGCGCAGTGAGGCAGTTCCTATGCAGAAGGACTTGGGCAAAAACAGGTACCTCTTGTTCCCTGTCTTGGGGAGCCAAAACATGACTTTGCAGTAGAGATGGGGATATTCATTAATGAATACGAATATCCCCATCCCAGGAGCGCCTAATGCAGATCCAGACTGGATTCATATTCATTTATGAATATGAATGTCCCCATCTCTGCTTTGTAGCAAAGCGGACAGTATTCCTAAAACAGTGATGCTGTGGGAGGATTTTCCTTGCATGAGGTAAGGTAAATGTATCTCTCCCCAGCACTTAAAATTTTGTGTTTTTTGGATTGCATTTGCCAAAATTCGCCAGATAACATGGCTAAAAAAAGAACCTTCCAAACTCCTCTTCAGAAATGTTCAAACTCTGTCTCTCCCGGTTTGTAATTTCTGAGGGCATATTCAGGTTGCTTACAAATAAATCAGGGGTTGCCTGTCCTATTAGGTTTCCTTGCTCCCGTGCTCTCAGCTGAGTATCTGGGTGTCAGATGCATATTTCTTATTAAGCTTTCTCATGTATTCAGTTAAGATTGTTCCTCTACCTAAGAGATACAACAGGTAGGTGGGAAAGAACCAGGCATATATGTGCTCAGGTGTGCTCTCCAGGCAAACACCTTGCTGTGGGCACTCATCAAAAACAATGTGGCATCTGCACATTGTGTACTTGTGGATGAAGTGTAGAGTACAAAAGCAGCCAAAGGAATGTTTCTCACAAAGGAAAATGTTTTTCTCTGTGTGACTTTCCACAGGGTGAACAAGGTGGATTGGCTTGTTTTTCCAATACCTTGTGGATCACTAAATAAGTCTCCAGCTTACCATATTTTTCCGTTTATAAAATGCCCCCGTTTATAAGACTGTGGCCCCCCCGCCCCCACTTTTCTAATCCAAAATTAAGAAAATTTAGCTTTGAGTATTCAGCCTCTGGGCTTAGAATGCTCGGACATTACCGTGTTGAATCTGAGCACTGCCACAGGCTCCACCTCCAAGGAGGTGTGTTCCAATTGGTTTTTTCAGCATCAGCTGACGTCAGTTCCATAAGATTCATGATTGGAGGAAGCTGACTGTAGGAAGCTTAGCCTCGTGATTGGAGCCAGCCTGTTTACAGAGGCCATTTTGTTTTCTCCTCAGCTTACTTCCGTGTATAAGACGCCTCTCAATTTTTAGTGTAATGATTTTATGAAAAAGTAGCATCTTATACATGGAAAAATATGGTATATTTTGCTCTTTTAGACTCCACTTCCAATTCTACCTTTATTTTAAGCTCTGTACTTCAAAGAAAGTTACCAGTCCAGCAATCGGTATCCCAAGTTCACCCTTGTTAACTGGTATCAGCTTAGTATAATGTAAATCTAAATCGCAGGTTTGATATTGCTATCACATGTGGCAAACAGGTGCCAGTTATTCAGAGAGGTAATTTAAGGACAGTTTATCGTCCTGAACTTCTTTGCTTTATGTGATTATGAATCTAAGGATAATTTTTTCCTCTTTGGTAACTTTGTCCTTGTGCTTGAGGCAGCATCCTCTAATGCAGTAGTTCCCAGCCTTGGGTCAACCAGGTGTTCTTGGACTGCCACTCCCAGAAACCCCAGCCAACACAAGTGGTGGTGAAGGCTTCTGGGAATTGCAGTCCAAGAACACCTGGGTGACCCAAGGCTCGGAAACACTGTTCCAATGCATAAGAACTAGAGATGGGCAGGAACCGCCAGTTCGGCAGTTTGTGCTGGTTTGTTTTTTCGACCCAACGGGTGTCCAGCACTTCCCAGCCCCGTCTCCTCTGCTGGGCACCCGTTCAGAGGCAGTATTCAGGGGACACAGACAAGGGAAGCTGAGGCACTGCCTCTGCGTGGGGCACCCACTGAAGGAGGCAGGGCCGGGAAGCACCAAAAAACAACCACCACCATCTGTTTGATTGAAAAATATGCCCATTTCTAAAAAGAACTCTGATGTATTTCTACCCTATTTGAATGCAGATTTGATTAATTACATATCAATTAAAGGTTTTACAAGCTGCTTTTAAGGATAATCTTCTGAAGGCAATGTACAGTAAAATCCAAAACCACGACATGCAATAAAACTGTGATAAAAAAACCATGATTATGTATATATATAAATTTGTATCCCACTCCCATTAGTGTCACAGCACTACCTTGGGCAGGTTACAAGACATATAATAGAAAACAAAAATAAAAACATTAAAAGAAACAACATTAATCCAAAAAAACAGGTGACACCGATTAATCATATAAACCCAGAGTGGATGGAGGAAAAGGAAGGAGGGGAGAAGAGGAGGGGGGAGTGAATAATTAAAAATCAGGCACCCCCTTCTTCACAGAGTCTTCTTTCAAAGTTGTAACTCGGTGCTTAAACCCAGGCAAACAGTTAAGGCTTCAGGGCCCGCTGGAAGGCCTGTATTGATGAGGCCTGGCAGGCATCCATTGGAGCCGGCTTCGATGCGAGGCCGGGGGGCTCCGAGGTAAGCCCTGTCCCTCGTACCTGCCACCCGAACAGCTCTGGCAGGCGCACACAGTGCCTCCACTGTTGTTCTCTAGACGTGGGTGAGTTAGTACAGGTGAAGGTTGTCCATCAAGTAACCTGGAAGTGAACCACTGAGAGCTTTGAAAGCCAGTATCAACATTTACAACAGGGCTTGGAGCCACCTGGAGGCCTGTGCAGGTGCCGGGATGCAGACGCTTTGGCTGCGCAGCGAGAGTGAATGGCAGAAAACACCTGTGGTCCGTGGGCCACACGCCATCAGAGACGCCCTTGTGTTTGACATCCTTCCCGCACTGGACGTGGTTAACAGTGTGCAGCGTGCTTTTTCGGTGGGGTGGCTGGCTTTACTAGCCTGCCATGTCCCCGTGTTGGAATCCTGCCCTCTTGTTTTAGAGGAAAGCCACCCTTTCGGAAGGCTTTCCTTTTCTGAAGATAAACAACAGAAGGAGGCCGGTCAAAGTGAAACCAAGCTAGGCGCCGTTTCTTGGGTCCTAGTGCCTGCAGACTTTGAACTTGCCGGCATTTCTCGTTATACTGAGGAGTTGTTTGTTGCTGGTTTTTAAAACCAAACTGTCCTCTCACTTCCCTTGCCCAACATGTGTCTATGTGTTTGCTACAGGTGAGGCTTGGATTTTGTTGGCATTTAGAAGATTTGCAAAACAGCAGAGGAGTCTCTCTCGCTCTCTCGCTCTCGCTCTTTCCTGTCTTTCTGCAGGCAAGCAAAGGCCTTGCCCTTCAAACAGGGTTTTTTTTTTCCTCAGTGACTGGCTGCCGGAGGGACAGGCGGTGGGCGGTTGTTTTGTTTTCTTTTCTTTCCCTCATCAAGCTTTTATACGGCTTGTTTGAATCTTGTAACCTGCCTGGGGCCCTCTTAAGCGGCACCATCAATGCAGGCTTCACTGCCTCCATATTTTCCCTTCTGATAAAGATTGGCCAGAATAAGGCCACTGCCTCTGTCACACAACACAAATGGGATGCCTCGAAAACATTTCTGAGGATGAGCACTGAGAGACTCGACACAGTGTTGTTTCTTCCCACACCAGCTGGCAAAGTACAGTATTGAACTCTTATTGGGCGTGGATCAAATCCACACAAAGAGCTGTGCTTCACATGTTTGCACCCCTGTTATTTCATTAGAAAAAGTGTGATGCCTGTTCTTAAGGTGACTTTCCTCTCTTTTTCCCCTCTCCTTTCTTTTCTGCCCAAGTGTTGCTATATGTCCGAAAAGAATCGGAAGAAGTCTTTGATGCACTTATGCTTAAAGTTCCGTCTCTGAAGGGCCTCATGGAAGCGGTAAGTTGGAAGGTTCCTCATTGTTTCAAGCCCTTCAAACTTAAAAAAAAGTTCTAGAAACCCAGATACTTGCTTTGTAAAAATATATGCAGTAGAGGTACCAGCCGTGAGTGCAGTCCTACTTATGCAGTGCTGCCCTGCTTGACGACGATAATCCGTTCCAGGAAAATTGCTGTTAAGCGAAATCGTTGTCAAGCGAAAAAAAAACCATTGGAATGCATTGAAAACTGGTTAATGCATTCCAATGGGGAACTACCTCATCGTCCAGCGAAGATTGCCCATAGAGAACCACCGATCAGCTGTTTAAAATCACTGTCTTCCGAAGCAGGGATCCAGAAAACAGCCATTTTGCAAAGGGAGGGAAGCCATTTTGTGGAGCCGGAAAAAGCATCATTTTGTGAACAAACAGTTCACGAAGCAGGCACCTAATCGATGTAAAGGGGAAAAAAGCCCATAGGAACCATCGTTTTGTGATCGCAATAGCGATTGCAAAAAACTCAGCATTAAGTGATTTCGACATCATACGGGGTAAGCGTCTAGTGGGGCACCACTGTATCTGAAGCATCAGTGGTGTAAAGGCTAGCAGATTGTTTCTCCAAACCTGAAGTTGCAACATACTCAAACAATTGCTACAGTTCTGGACCTTATTTTAGCCTGAGCAAATATTTTAATTGCTGAGAGAGTCTTTTTTTAAAAACGAGCAAATTCACATGCCAAATGGCCCTTTGGAGGAAGTAAAAAGAACACAGAGTGACTTTAGCCATAGATTTTTCCACTGATGCGCTTCATGAACTGTGCAGGGGCCGAGGAACTGGTTCCTTTGGTGTATCTTCTGCACATGCAGCACACAGTTTTTGGGAGTAAGGCACCAGCCTAACTCGTACAAGATACACAGATCCAGTGTTTCTGTAATTTATTGGTTTGTTACATTTATCTCCCACCTTGCTCCAGTAAAGTCAAAGTATCTCCTCTCCTGTCCATTTTTTAAACACACAAAAACACATTTTTTAAACACACAAAAACACATTTTCCCTGGATAAATGGGTACTCTCAGAGAGTTCCCAAGCTCCTGTCTTGGGCTAGAAAGTGACGACCTCTTTGTGACCTCCTCAACTGCCAGGTCCCACAATTTAGGATGTGATGAAAGCTTATTTGTTTCTCTTTTCCCATCTCATGCTGCACAAATGGAGGAAGACTGGTTTTGTACTTTCTTCTTCACACTCGTAGGTATCCATTCAGGCATGTGTATGTTCTTCTTTGAAACAATCCTCACCCTTGAAAAACCTCAAACCTCAAATGCAAATGATACATACTACTGTACTAGTATGGGGCGCGAATATGCAAGCCTTACTGGGCTGTTTCATGTGGTTATTCTATGCGTGTTTGTTTGATGGTAAATCCCCCTGGGGTCAACTGGACTGGTTCCCACGTGTATGTATTGGGGACTGCAACTCCAGCCTTGATCTTGCTCTGGACACTTTTCTTTCCTTAACTCCATGCACTGCAGTAAAGAATCTGCAGTAAAGAACATGGTTTTGTCTGCAAAAGCACATATTGGCTTATTGTGTTTGTGAGTGTGTGTTTGTGGGGCAGCATCAAACCTTGGAAGGTGACCATTGGCGCCTTGGTCTTTGTTTCCTCTGCTTCTGTCTTATCTGACTAGAGAGGGTGACAAAGTTGAAGGAAAATAAGCCTTAGGGTTATGTCCACATAGCAAGGCTGACTAGCCTTCCCCTTGGCAATTCAGGTCCCATTTCTTTCATCTCAGATTCCATCACAACAGCTTGAAATTTCTTGAATGCATGATGTGTTTCCAAGCTCGTGCCTTGTGTGTGATCTTGGCATTAGGAAGAAAAGAAGAGGAGGGGGGCTTGATTGACATAATTAGCTGTCTGCAGTACATAGCTACCCTGTTTCCCCTAAAATAAGACCTAACCTGAAAATAAGCCCTATTATGATTTTTCAGGATGCTCGTAATACTGTATAAGTCCTACCTCAAAAATAAGCCCTAGTTAAATGAAACCCCACCTTCCACCCTTGTGCAGCAATCAGAAGATGACATGATTGCATTTGAATAAATATAGATGGTTGTGCATGACAAAAATAAAACATCCCCTGAAAATAAGCCCTAATGCGTTTTTGGAGCAAAAATTAATATAAGACCCTGTCTTATTTTTGGGGAAACCGTCAAGGCAGAAGTACAAACATTAAGCTACGTAATCTTAAATGGTTACTATTATACACTAAACTAGAATTAAGAAAACCTCCTGCAAACCTTTAGTGTGTCAGATTTCAGCCTCCAGACTGGGCATGCTCTCTAAGCCTTCTGGGAGGAAATATCAACCATCTGAAGAACCTAAAACTACGGTAGGTATTAGTATTTGCTGTTGGGATGAAGTTTGAGTAAAACTAGAATGGGTGATCAATACTCCATTTAAACAATTTGGATTCTAAAGCAATGGCAACTTAGTATCTTTTCTAGTGTTTTGTACAGTCTAAAAATACCTCTGAATAACTAAATTTTTGCTTTTTTGTTGTTTTTAGATATCTGACAAATACGAGGTCCCTTTGGATAAAATAGGAAAAGTCTTCAAGAAATGTAAAAAAGGGTGAGTATATTGAACCTTAAAAGCATTGTTGTGGCTTTGCATGGAAAATACAACAAATTCCAAGTTGTTTTTCATCCTGTCTTTTATAATACAAAGAACTGCCTTCTTCCTACTCTAAATTGGCTGGAGATATGCACTGTGCATTTAACCCCATTTAATGCATATAGCATCTGTAGCAATAGTAGAACTGCTGAAATCGAAGAATGCCTCGTTCTTAAGTCATGGTGCTCTGTTTACCAGGTTGTAGCTTTGTGAGCATTGATTGAAGCACTCAAATCTGTATAACTGACGAAAGAGGCTAGAGATGAGCAAACTGCAAACATGTTTGCATTCATCTACAACGTTTTCAGAACTCAACTTGTGAGTTATCCACAGACCTTAGCGGAGTCAAGTTCATGATATTCTTCCTCCTTATTGTGCCATTTAACTCCTTCAATTCATTGAATTAGATTTGCAACTGCAAATTCTAAGGCATAAATCCAGCATTACACCAGTGGCCATCCATTGCTAGCAAGATGGGACTTCCTCCGCCACCCTCCAGCAATCTTCGGGGGGGGGGATTTCTCTGCTCCTCTGGTTGCACAGACCGAAGCGGTTCGACCATCAGAACGACACAATTGTGTTCTGCTGTAAATCTGGCTAGAGGAGTAGTTGCTATTGACTGCTTGCTTTCCATGAACAACATTCCAGGTATTGATTAAAATCCTGTTGCTTAGTGTAGTGAGTTGCAGCTAGAGTAAATCCCTTTGAATCAGTGGCGATTCAGATGGGCCTACTTCAGATGCAACTTCTTGTGCTAAAGTAAGTCACAACTAGAGTAGGGCCATTTGAATCAATAGAACAAGGAGAAGTTAATTCACCAGATTCCTACTGATTCAATTGGGTCTACTTGTTATGTTTCTTAAAGGCTGACTGCATGGACATTGAGGTTACTATCTGGGCTGCAATCAGTCAGTGTCTTCACTAGAGCAAAGCAGCACAACCCAGAAAGTGTTCCTACCAGCACTTTTCCTGAGCCCCTATTAGGGGCCTCTCCTTTTTTTGGTGCAGGTGGGATTGCTCTATTTTGGTCCATTTCAAGTACATGTGATCACTGGAAATGACTCAAAGCAAGCCTTCATCGTAATCTGGCAGTGTTGTAAAGACAGCCGCTTCACAATATTGGCAAATTGACGGCAGGCTACTGCAGACCAAACAGGGTCCCTTGAGGTTTGTATGGCATTTGGATACGAGGATTACACCCAATGGCATACCGAACCTCCTAGCAACTCTCTTTAGCACAATTCAGCCCACTCTAACCCAGCTGTGTGGACAAGCTCTTAGTGTGTGAAGTGATAGGATTTCAGCCAGGGTTCAGTTTCCATCTGAAACTTGTTCTTCTCATTACAGAAGTGTGTTTTACTAGGTTTGCTTAGTAGATCATGAAATCCACAGATCTAACTTCTGATTTGTGCTATTGCTGTTGGTATATTTCTTTTCAGATTTAATATGTTCTGGTTTAAATACTCTGTTATTTTGTTAGTATCTTAGTGAATATGGATGACAACATTGTGAAGCACTATTCCAATGAAGACACCTTCCAGTTACAGATCGAAGAAGCTGCTGGGACGTACAAACTGACACTTACTGAGATCTAAAGCCTAGCTTTGTTGGACCTCCTGTGGGATTTTTAAATGAAGGTTGTGAACACAAACCTCTCATTGCTGTTGTCCTCAGGATTTAAGCATGCCTTTAGGAAAGAAGCCATTTATTTCCCCAGAGATTAATACCCTTTTTGATGTTTTAAAAACCAAAATTTATATACATCTGCATACTGTCCTTTTGGCTACAGCACTGCACTTTGAACAGATGAATGGAAGATGTACTGAATTAAAATGCAAATCCAAACAGCACATCTGACCAAAGCACTATAAGAGAGTCTTGTGGTGACACTATCTGCGCATTACCTTATCCATTATATGTGTCCGGGTTTGTTCATCAGTTGCTTTCAGAGTTATTTCCCCCCACTATGTACAGCTTCAGGATTCCCAATGATGCTTAAAGGAAGTCCATTAAAGTCTGGAACCAGATTCTTGCAATGTTTACATCTAAATGGGGCATATTATGATAATATTCTTCTACAACATCTTAGGGGTGTCAAACTGCCTTGCTTTATGAAGAACGTCCTTGTATTAGTCCCACTGTTGAGCTGTGTCTGTATATTTTGAAGGGTTGTAAATAATGTACATAAAAGTCACACTTATATATAATTAATATAAATATATACATACCATGCAGGATAATAGATGTATGTTTGTCCTTGTGTAGTATTGAATGAACAAATACTGTATGGTGAAACTTATTTGAAAGGATAATATGTATATAAATATAACACTGAGAAAAGCAGTCTCAGTTCTAAATTAAATTTGAGCTGAGCATGTTCAGCCTCCTCTAAGAAGGAATTTCCAGACACCAAATTAATCTTTATTATCAAGAGTTGAAGTGACTACCCCTTGTAAAGTAATGGAGTTGCAGTAGTGCATTAGTCCTGTGTTTCTTTTTCCCTGCCAAGGCATGTATTTCATGAGAAGTTAGCCATAAAGAACCTTTGTGAATTTTTTAAAGGTGGCATAAGGAGTCTTTTGGACTTGAACTTTCAGAAGCTTTAACCAGCATGGTCAGTGGTTGCACTCTGAAACATCTGGAGGGTCACATGTTTTCCAGTCTCTACTGAGATCTTGTACCTCAGAACACAAGTCGGTTACTGATGATTTTTCACTTTAGAGCTCCACTACATTCTGACTTCTGTCTGACATATTGGCCCAAATCCTGTTGTTCAGTACAGTAAATACACTAGAATAGGCCCATTGAATCATTGGGGATTAAGTAAGGCAATTCCTCCATAAGTTACATTGATTCAAATGAGCCTACTCTAACTGCAACTCACTTTAGCATAGTAAGTTGCAGTTAGAGTAAACTATTTGAGTCAGTGGAATTTATGTAGGAATTGACTCACTAAATCTTCACTGATTCAATGGTCCTACTGTAGTGTGATTTAGTACACTAAGCAACAGGATTTTAGCCATGGTTATTCAGACAGTTCAGTGCGTATATTATCTTTAATGTTATTGTTTTGGTGAATTATAATATGTCATGCTTCTAACTTACAGTAGTTAACCCTTATGGCTGTTTGGTGCTCTTTGTGATTTACATAGATGACACTGACAGAAACTGGCTCAATCTTTTGTTTTGATGCCATATGGTATTAAATAATGTTTTCAATATTTAACACCAGAGATGTTATTCACTAGTGGAATTTTGGATTCTTAATTTCTGAATGATTGCTTATAGGTTTGTTGCTGCTGTTGTTCTTGTTGCACGCTGTCAAGTCTGAACTGACTTACAAGTGGCCCTAATAGGGTTTTCAGGGTAAGTGAGATATTTAAGGGGTGGTTTGACCAGTTCTACTCCCCCAGTGAGTTTCCATGGCTGAGCGGGGATTTGAACCTACTCTCCAGACTTCTAGTCCATCATTCTATCCACGACACCACACGAGGCATGTCATTTTTCTGAACTAATCTGAGTGGATGTGGTAGATTTCAATTGGCTTCATATAGTACTAGAAGTCACATGACCAATGCCCGAAACAGTCACTTCATAGAGAGCTAATTCAAAGTTTCTCACATGATCAGCCGGGCTAATTTATTCTCTGATCATCCTAATACTATATTGAAGGAGGCTGAATATAGGGTTGTGCCACACAGTGCTTTGCATTGAACTTGGATCTCGGACAAGGAAGTCTTCTTGGCTGCAGTGCTTAGGTTCTGGAATTCCTTCATGGAGGAGGCTCTGCTTTCCATCAGCACTTTGTGAACTTATCGAGACGTTCCTGTTTTGACAGGCCTTTGATTTGAATCCACACACTGCTTTTCTCTACTGATTTGATGTATCCTGATTGTTATTTGTGGTATGACTCTTTATTTGATAGGGTTTAGATTGTATATTGCTTTCAAAAGATAGGGTGTTTGCCAGCTTGAAGGCCTCCTAAAGAACCAATGGGCAGGGTACAAATATCTTTAATTCATACATAAATAAAGACCAACAGCAGAAAAGGCTCCACTCAAAGCCCAACTGAAGTGACACTCATGTCATAAAGAGGCCCATGTTGACTGGACCCATGATCTCTGTATGACATGCCAAGAGAGAGATTTTCTTAAGCAAGGAGTGTTTATGAATTTTATTTTGTTGAAAACTTCTCAGGTCAATGAACATTCAATTTTCTTCTCCATTTTTTTAAAAAAATTCACATATAACTTGTCCAGCAGCTGAACTCTGAAGAAAGAAATACATAGGTAGACTGTATAGGTGGAAGTCAACGGAGGAGAATTCTCCTTAAAGAAAATTTCTTACAGGTGTTTGCAAAACATCTGCTGGCTTAAAGAATAAATAAATCTTGTTACCAAAGCCTTGCAAACTTTGAATATGTTATTATTTCTAGTTTAGAGGAAGGTACTTTGTTGAGTGAACTTTTTATTTTTCACACCTGCGAAGTACAGACTGAAGTAAAAAAAATTTAAGAGTTTCTGTTTAAAATTTTAAGATTTGCCACAGAGAATGAAATTACAGAGAAATGATTTTTATTTTTGGTAAAGTCTGGATGAATTAATGCTCATATTTACATGCAGTGTTGGAACGGAACTTCTGAATACTTGGAATACGGGCTTTTAACTTGTAGCTGTTTTGAGTGATGTTCTCCAGGGAGAGCTGGCTCTGAACCTCTATGCTGTTTTGTGTCATTGTAACTGAACATTTAATGTAACGCAAGAGCCATTAAACTTTATATGTTAATTTGTAACCATTCAGTTAAATTTAACCAATGTTTACCATAAATGTAAATGAGTTGCATGATTAAGTAGTGAGGGAGGCAAACACAATGCCAAGAAGTACCTCCACTGTATTATGATTCCCTGTCATCTCTACTCAGCAGTGTCTATCAAAATGAGAATCCCTTAGAGAGGGAATTGTATGATAGAGTGACAAAGTAGTGGTGGAACCACAAGAAACTGGTGTCAACCTATCCTAATACCTGCCAATACTGTGCATACATTGTATCCAAGAAAGGAGCTTTTAAAAAGCTTGAGAAGGCCCCCTTTTCTTTAAATGGTCAACCCCCCTTCTATAACCTCTGCCTGTATCGGGGTTAGCGTATGAGCAGCAGGGGGAGATTTTTCAGTCATTAAGGAGTCCCTGTTTCCACCTGAGGGCTGGCACAGCTCATGTGTAATGATGACCCTGATTAGAGTCAGAAGAGCTGCATGACAGAAGCAGGAACTCTTTAATTGCTGACTACTTCCTCCTTCCTCCTGTTGGTGACATCATCACCCTGCCCCAGACGTAATTTATGGACAGGGCCTCTTGCCTTTATGACAAGAACATGGGAGTGACGCTGTTTTCAAGGCAAGGCAGCGTAGCTGTTGATGGATTGCCTCAGTAAAAGCCCTTTGAAACTGTACACTCTTGTAAAGCAGGATTCATTCCTGTATTATAATGTGACATTCATTTCCATTTCTGGTTTTTCATATATACACATATTTTACTAGTTGTGACAGAATTGCCTCCCTGCTGCTGTTCAACACAATTATGATTTCATTAGCATTCATTTTGTCTCATTTCCTTCAGTATTGTCCATCAAATAATTTTTGTTACTCAATACTTAAAACACTTAAACGTGCCTTACAAACAACTACAGTGCCCTAGTTTTTGTATGTGTTTTATTATTGTCTTGTTGTCAATTTGGGTTGTCTTTTACCTTCTGGTTTGTTCTCACATTTTGAGTTGGGTGGCTGGGGAGAATTTATTAGCTTGGGAGGTTTGAACTGATTCATGAATGGTCCAGTCAGTTTCTGTGGTACTTTGCATATAGATCTTGCCCGTGATGTTGGCTTTAGAACAGATTTGACACCGTTAATTAGGAGAACCGTGTGTATGTAATCTTCTTTTTCTTTGCTTTGTGTTCTGTGTACATTGGCATGCTTCCACAGACCAGATCGTATGGGCCTATCCTTGTTGAAACTAAGTGGAGTCTTTGTTATTAGAAAGCCATATTTGAGAATGGCTGGTGTGGTGCCTCACTGGATTGCCTTGTACTATTGCTGCTATAAAATGTTGACTGTGATTACCTGAACCTTGTCTCTGAGCAGCAAATAAGTAAACAGCAGGGATTAGCAAACACTCACTTTCCTGAGCACTATGCATTTATTACTAAGCTCCCTGCAAGTTCTTTACAAACATTCTTGTTTCCATCTTCGCAAGTGCACTGTCCGTGTATATTTGGAACGATGGTGACAATACATAAATGTCTCCCCATTTCATTATGGTCAGAACAACTCTGAGATAAAGTTACATGGAAAATTATTGTCTGAGACTCCAGTTCTGGGTTGGCTGAAGGGGTTCTCAACAAACCCTCCTCTCTTTTGGTTCCTCTCTGGCCTGGAAATCAGTCTCATTCACAATTCAGGCATCCACTTCCACACCATTTGAAGGGTATTGCAAGACAAGGTACATCTTTGCCTCAGGAATGTTGGCCTTCGAAAGACTTACAGTGCATTTTTCTGACAAAATAAGCACGAAATCATTATGCATTTTAACAAAGGTGAACAGCTGAAAAGTGTGTACGTGAAAAATGCACATAAACATGTTTTACTTAATGGGGCAGATGTTTACCAAATGCAGCTAATAAAGTACACCAATAGTTAAAATGGGGTTGGGTGCATGCATTCCGCTATTCATGCTATTAATGCCAGACAAAGAGGAAATAAGCATTGTAACCTATATGAACCAAGTGTACGAGAAGAGGGGAGACTGAAAAAATGCAGTGAAACCAAAAGGGAGAGTTTTCACATCCTTTACTTTGGTGGCCCTCTCCCTGGGGTCTCACCTGGCCAATGACAGCAGGTGCTGAGGCAGAACCTGCCGCAATCTTGTACACACTTTCCAGGGAGCAAGTCCTATTTAAGCACCGCAGGACAGCCTTCTGAAGCCATACGCACTGGGTGACCCTTTGAGATGTGCTTAGCTTTGTGCCTGAGCA